GTCAGAAGGGTCCTCTTGTATTCCATTATAAGTTAAAAATGTAGAGCCAGGATTTAAACTGGATCAGATTCAGAGAACCTTGCATGAGGAAGTAGCTGAGACCCCCTGTCATCCACCATGGTAGTAGAATCTCGCTGCGGTGGCTACACTGTGTGTTCTGCACAGCTGGAGGAGGAGAAAGCCGGAGTTTGGGTTCTGCATGGGTCATTTTGGGTTATGAGTGGAAGTGTAACGGATAGTAGCTGAATCAGAGGCACATTCGGGATGAAAGACGGTGGAGGAGCAACACTTTTTTCCAATGGGAGGAGCTACAAGCTGGTCATCGATGTTGTTTGGAAGAATCAGCATCTAAAGTGCCAATATGTGTGTGTGTGTGTGTGCATGTGTGTGTGTGCGTGTGTGCATGTGTGCGCGTGCGCGTGTGTGCGCGCGCGTGTGTGTGTGCGTGTGTGTGCGTGCCTGCGTGCGTGCGTGCATGTGTGTGTGTGTGTTTTCCAGGGCAGCAGCCAATGATCTGTCCTGGCAAAGAAGGAAAAGCCAAAATAGTAGTTGACAATGAGTTCTGGGCTGGAGGCATGGAGTTGCACTTACATGAATGTGTCCCTGGTAGGAAGATTTCTATATGGTACAGTCTATTAAAACCCACCAGAAAATATTAGCAGCCACCCCTGAACTGACACAATGGACATACGTGTCATCCAGGCAAGCTCCTGCCCTTAGGACACTGTGCTGGCCATTTCTTCCACATGGAACAACTTCCCCTTGTATTCAAGTTGCTTCCTCCCTGCCTTTCAATGTGTGCTCTAATATCATCTCCACCTTGAGAAGAATCCTGATCCTTCTATTTCCTAGTGAGATTTTTCAATTCTATTTTCCCACAGTCTTTTTGAAGCACTTTTATATAAAGAAGTGCATCACAAGTAATAACAAGGATGTGGGGTAAGAAAAATCATACAAATACAATAGAAAGAGCATACAAAATTTTCCATAAACTTTTTGAAGTACCCTCATATTTCCACAGCAACTGTCTCCTCATAACTTACTGCGTAATATGTAATATTTTCTTTGTTACTTATTGGCTACTCCCCTCAATTTGAATGAAGGCTGCGTGTGAACACACTCTCTGCAGGTGTGTTCGCTGATATGTGCCACGTCTCTCGAGGAACTCTGGGCCACATGAGATGTTCAGTGTTGGTTGAAGGAACCACAGTGTTGGTTGAAGGGGGCCACAGCTCTCCTTACACTCAACCAGTTCTTTCTACACTCACTCGCACCTTATTTCCTATACTCCACGTTTAATTTTCTCAAAGTTCTCATGAATTAAAAACCATAATAATCTGTTGCATATATGTAAGGTGCAATAATCTAATTTCTATTATTTAAAAATTAAATACGTTCAAAAGCATCAGTATTTTGTTGAAAATACATAAGTTAAATCACCCCTATGTACTTTTATTTACAATCTTCCGTCTATTTTTCTAGAATTATGGTTTGTATCTACTTGTATTAAGACAGATTTTTGTTATTTCTAGTAAGTTTATAGATTTCTCTAGTACTTGACACATTTCCTATTTTTAGTTTATTTTTTTTGGTTGCTGGCCAGCATAGGAACCAAACCCTTGACCTTGGTGTTACAGGGCCATGCTCTAATCATGTGAGCTAATGACCCACCAGTCCCTAGGACTTGTCACATTTCTTAGCTTTCATTTGTTTTTAAAATTTTTATTTACATTTCAGTAAAATGTTTTCTTGACATTTTTATATAGGAAAAAGCCTCTATACACAATTGGTATTGTTTTTTAATATATATTACAGTTTTGTATATCCATAATTATGTTAACTATAATATTGTATGTAATTCTAAAATGATTTCCAGTTATACGAATATCAACTGTCATAATGAAAATATACTTCATTTATTCTAAGTATAATTCATAAGTATAATCCTAATCTTATAGCATTGAATATGCCAGACAAGTCATTTAACCCATAAATCATTCAAACCTGTCCATAAAATAAAAGATCGCTTCATTCTGATAATTAAAATCACATTTTCACAGTAACACAGTTTTAACTTAAATATACAGTCAGTGTTCAATTTTGCCACTGTTTCAAAAGTTTACTTTTTATAACTGATATGTTTAAATTATAAACAAACAATAGACTTTCATTTTTTGTATCTTAGTTCTCTTTGATTAGAAACGTTGGCCTACTTTCTTGTGTTAGATTTGTAACTTATATGATGGTGTAATTGGATTATTTGTCTGGTATAATTTCCCACATTCTCTCATATTTTTGCACCTCTAACACATTCTCCTTTACTTCCAATGATTGTGTAATTAGAGTCGGAACACTGAGGGTTGCGATCCATTGCCGGACACAAAAAAAAAAAAAAAAAAAAAAAAAAAAAAAAAGAAACGTTGGCCTACTTTCTTGTGTTAGATTTGTAACTTATATGATGGTGTAATTGGATTATTTGTCTGGTATAATTTCCCACATTCTCTCATATTTTTGCACCTCTAACACATTCTCCTTTACTTCCAATGATTGTGTAATTAGAGTCGGAAGCATGGACTAAATCCAGATGTTCTCTCTGGCCTCACACAGGATAAGACTTCTGACTGAATCCAGTGTGGAGTCTCAGACGTTTGAGTGTTTTCCTTTGTTAGTGTTAAGTTTGAACAGTGGATCCATGTCATATTAGTGGTTTTTTTTCCAGTATCACTTTTTCCCACTGGTCTTTTATCTATTGTGCCAGCAGTCATCGGTTGAAGTCATTGACTGTGATTGTTGGTTTAATCCATTCTTTCGTAAGCTGCTTAGACTTGTGTGTACTAATTCTGTCAGGATGTCTCCATTATCCTCAGCAAAATACAGGTTGAGAACTCATTTTGTGCGGTTCAGTTTTGCTGTTACTGTTCATCGATGATTGATTTGTACCATCGTTTTTGAACTGAGCCTATTCAGTTTAAATACTCTGCCCCTAAACGTGGATAAACATAGATAATGATTTTAGAAGCATATGTTTTCTACATCATTCTATGGAAAATGTATGTTAGAATCTCAGAAGCAACTTATATCCCTCGAGGATGAATTGTGGTTTCTAAATATGGGGGTACTTGCCCCTAAACTGACCCTAGCAGTCTGTAAGAGCTTACTTGATTTCTTGTTTTACGATAACACATTCCACAGTCATTTTGAAAATTTCCTTCCTCAAACATGAAACCATCCTTTTGAAAAGAAACACTGAATTTGTTTAAAGATAAATTAAATGAGTATACTTCAGACATTTCATGGAAAAACAGAATGAAAAGATAATACAAATCGTTTCACAAACTTTTTTTTTTGTCCTTTTTGAGACCGGCTGCACCACGCTTTGCCAGTGAGCACTGTGAGCGCACCGGTCATCCCTATATAGGATCCGAACCCACGGCGGGAGCGCTGCTGTGCTCCCAGCGCCGCACTCTCCCGAGTGCGCCATGGGCTTGGCACACCACAAACTTTTTGTAATACCCTCTTATTTATTTACTTATTTTGGCAGCGGGCTGGTATGGGGATCTGAACACTTGACTTTGTGGTGTTATAACACCGTGCTCTAACCAGCTAAGCTAACCGGCCAGTCCTACCTTCATATTTAAAAACCGTAGTCTTTGTCTGATGAGTGTAAGTTGCTATTGAGTTGGTAAAACGATCCATATATTTTCAGTAGAACAATGTAGAAAATATATGCATTTTCAAACATTATCTATCAAAAGTGAATAGTGACTAATCTAAATAGATTTAGAATTATGGGCTTTTTAATTTTTTGGTCCTATATTTGAATTTTTTCTCTTGTGATGAAAACTTTGGTTATCAGTAGCATTGATAGAATGATTGCTTTGTTCAAACTAACAATGTCATTATGGTAACTAATAATATGATAGTGGAAAAACATTTTGACTATTTTCTGGTATTTTATCTTTAATACTATTAGAGATGGAGAGCAAAAAAAAAAAAAAATTCTGCTTTTTCATGCCAAATAAATAAAATTCTCTTGGTATGAAACTGTCACTAATTTGCTAAGCACTCAGAATTCTTTTGAATATTGTTTTAGTTTTAATGTTTTAAATATTTGGAATCTAATGCTGTTTTATAATTAGTTAATATATTACATTTGTTAAAATGCCAAAATATAGGGCCGGCCCGGTGGCGCACTCGGTAGAGTGCGGCGCCTGGGAGCGCGGTGGCACTCCCGCTGAGGGTTTGGATCCCATATACAGACCGGTCCGCTCACTGGTTGAGCGCGGTGTGGGCGCGACACCGAGGGTTGCGATCCTGTTGCCGGTCGTGCTACGGGCGCGATACTGAGGGCTGCGATCCCGTTACTGGTCACGAAAAAAGGCAAAAAAAAAAAAAAAAAAAGGAAATAAAAAAAACAAAATGCCAAAATATAAAATAAAATTAATTAATATAAGTGTAGGTTCTACCCTGTCCCTCCACCATGGTCACAGTCTGCTCCTAAAGGAACACATGTGAATTATTTTTGCTTATTCCTTCTCTTGTTATGAAATAAATATTATTGTTATAAAAGTACATATATGTTGAAATTCTGTATTTTTAATATACTTTATTATTAGAGCTGTTTTAGGTTCACAACAGAATTGAGCAGAAGGTATAGAGATTTCCCCACACACCTGCCCCCCACATGCAGATCCTCCCTCTAGGTCAACATCCCACAAGTGATACATTTGTTACAGCTGATGGGCCTGTACTGACACATCATGACTACCCAAGATTTAAAGTTTACATTAGGGGTCACTCCTAGTCTTGTTCATTTTATCGGTTTAGACAAATGTAAAATGTCATGTACCCACCATGATAGTATCACACACAGCAGGTTCACTGCCCTAAAAATCTTCTGTGCTCCACCTGTTCATCCCTCCCTCCCTCTTTATGCTGCCAACCACCAATTATTCAGTGTCTCCATAACTTTGCCTTTTCCACAGCGTCATGCAGTTGGAATCATACAGTGTGCAGCCTTCTCACATCGGCCTGCTTACTAATTGACGTTGAGGTTGTTTACATAATAGCTCTTCAGTAAATAATCTTTGCACACATTAGCATATATTATTAGTATCCACTGAGAGTGAAAAACTCTGTGTTCCTTTCAGCACAGGAAACTACCAGCCACAGTCATGGTAATGCTTCTTTCATTCCTCTACTCATTCCTCAGATGTCAGTAGAAACCAACGTCCCGTAGGAATTGATGTGATGGGTTCTCCTAACTTGGAGATGGAGATCATCGTCCTCACTCAGGCCAGCATTGGAATCCTGGGAAATTCCTTCCTCCTTTGTCTTTATAACTTTATTCTGCTCACCGGACACCAGGTGAGACCCACAGACTTGATTCTCAACCAGCTGGTCTTCGCCAACTCCTTGGTGCTCTTCTCCAAAGGGATCCCCCAGACAATGGCATCTATTGGACAAAAATATTTCCTGGATGATGCTGCCTGTAAAGTTGTCTTTTATCTTCACAGAGTGGGCAGGGGGGTTTCCCTCAGCACCACCTGCCTCCTGAGTGTCTTCCAGGCTGTTAAGCTTTCTTCCAATTATTATGCAAGGTTGGAGATCAGAATGAGATCCCCAAAGTGCATTGGTTTCTGTTGCTTATTTATCTGGATCCTGCATCTCCTGTTAAACACGGGAGTTCCTTTGAGTATTACTCGGTCACTAAATGGAAAAAATATAAGTTTGATGAGAAAAAATTTTGGCTACTGCTCTGCCTCCTTTTTAGCTAAATTTATAAATGGAGTACATTTTATCATATTTTCTCTCTTTGATGCAATAAGTTTGGGCCTCATGGCCTGGGCTAGTGGCTCCATGGTCTTTATCCTACAAAGGCATAAACTGCGAGTCCAATACATCCACAGCAGCAGCCTCTCCAAGCCCAGACGTTCCCATGTGGGCAGAGCCACAGGCACCATCCTGATCCTGGTGAGCTCCTTTATTTTATTTTACTCAGTCTCTTCCATTTTGACTGCCTGTCTTTCTTTGATGGATCCGGGCCAGTGGCTGGTGCTCACCTCTTTGCTTGTGACTTCATGTTTTCCAACATTCAGTCCCTTTGTGCTTATCAGCAGTGACACCCGAGTCTACTACTTCTGCTTTTCCCACTCGGAAAGAAAAACAATATTTTTTCCAACCTTCTCATGCATCAAAGGATGTCACTTCTCCCCAGGGAAATCGTTTACTCTCTCCTTATGACTATTAAGTGCCAGGTACTCTGTTAGGAGTCTTGATACTCTGCGTTTAAGGGATCCATAACGATTGCCCTCACTGATCTCATTTTGTACACATAAAGTAAGCTTGCACTAATAATTACGTAAAGATTACTGAATGCAAATTTGTTATGTCCTTCAATAGGGATAACCAGGGCTTTTTGAGATTGAAGGGTGGCAGGATATGCCACCCCAAAATATGCCACTTTGACAGAAGTGTTTCTGAACTGAGATGAGTTCTTTTTCCTTCTCACCAAATGAGTAAACAGCCTCTAATGGCAAACACTGCGGTGATAAACAGCAGCATTTATTTGAGGGGCCCTTCACGGATTTCGAGGCAGCTAAAGAAGCTTAAAAACCAAGAACTCCCCAAGAGCTTAAAATCACCAATATTTGTAGGGCAGGAATTTGGGTAAGAGTCCCGGGAATTGTGGGGGTGCCTGACTGGTCAGCGGTGAAGTCAGTATAATTGTTTCTGGCATCTTGAGAAGTGTTTTCAGGGCTCCTCGAAGTCTGTGGGTGAACTGCATCAAAGCAGTCTTGTGAGAACAGGTGGTCTGGAACATCTCAGAACTGTCCTTAGCAATGTTATCTCTCGTCATTATCCTAAGCAATAAACTAAAGAAAAAAACATGTTGTATCTTTACATTATCTTTACTTGCAAGGAAAGTACGTCTTTATGTAATTTCTGGTTTCACCTTATTGTTAAGCAAGGTTTTTAAAATTATTATTATTGGTTACATGTATTTGTGGGGTATAAAATTGAATATCTATACATGTGTACAATATTTGGTGATCAAATCAGGATAAGTAGCATAGTCATGTTTACAAAACATAATCAATATTTGTGACCCTCAACTAGTTATATCTCACATTTTCCATATCCATTCATCTGTCAATGGACATTTAGGTTGGTTCCATATCTTGGCTATTGTAAGCAGGGCTGCAATAAACATGGGCGTGCAGGTGTCCCTTCAACATGAAGATTTCCATCCCATTGGGTATATACGCAGCAATGGGATTGCTGGGTCATATGGCAGTTCTATCTGTAGTTGTCTGAGTAAACTCTGTACTGTTTTCCATAATGTCTGCACTAACTTACCATCCCACCAGCAGTGTAGGAGGCTTCCCCTTTCTCCACATCCTTGCCAGCATTTGTTATTCTGTCTTTTTGATAATAGCCAGCTAACTGGTGTGAGATGATATTTCAGTGTATTTAGATTTGCATTTCTCTGATGCTGAGTGATGTTGAGCATTTACTTAATGTTTCTGTTGGCCATTTGTATATCTTCACATGAGAAATGTCTATTCAGATCCTTTGCCCATTTTTTACTTGTGTCACTTGTTTTCCTCCGGTTGAGTTGGTTCAGTTCTTCGTATATTCTGGATATTAATTCCTTGTCAGATGCATAGTTTGCAAATATTTTCTCCCATTCTGTAGGATGTCTTTTTACTCTGCTAATTGTTCCTTTTGCTGTGCTGAAGCTTCTCAGTTTGATATAATCCCATTTGCTTATTTTTTCTTTTGTTGCCTGTGCTTTGGGAGTCATATCCGTAAAGTCTTTTCCAAGTCCTATATCCTGAAGTGTTTCCTCTTAGGAGTTTTATAGTTTCCGGTCTTATATTTAAGTCTCTAATCCATTTGAGTTGATTTTGGTATATGGTGAGAAGTACCGGTTTAGTTTCATTCTCCTGCATATGAATGTCCAGTTTTTCCAGCACCATTTATTGAAGAGGGGGTCTTTTCCTGAACGTATTTTCTTGTTGCCTTTGCTAAAGGTCAGTTGGCTGTAAGTATGTGTCCTGATTTCTAGGTTCTCTATTCTGTTCCATTGGTCTTTCTATTTTTATGCCAGTACCATGCTGTATTGCTTAGTTTAGCTTTGTAGTATAGTTGGAAGTCAGGGAATGTTAAGCAAACTTTATTGGCATTCCCAGGAATTCAGGTCAGGCTTGGTCAAGCAGTTTTTCCTCTGCTACTACCTCCTTCCCCCAGCTGAGTCCTGTTCTGACTGGGGACAGGGAACAGCTAGTGGAAATTGGGGGTCTGTCCCCTGATTTCATAAGGATTACTTTGAGTCAAAGGCACTTAAAGAACAGCAGTTGCATAAAAGGGATTCTAACCTTCCCCCCCTTTTTTCCTGAATACAAGAGAACATAACTCCAATGTGGAATATGTCCTCCTTTATCAGCAGAAAGGAAACATTTGTTGATGAGGAATCATAGCCTGGAGAATTTTGTACAATCAGACCTTATTAAAATAATCCTCCTATTCCTTTCGCCTTTACACATAATTTAGTTACTCTCCCACAATTGCCTCTCTTTGTTCAAACCAATACAAAAGCATGTAGACTTTGCCATTTCTTTGGGTCTTCATTTTCTCATGAGGATTCTTGTTTTATGTAAAACTTACAATAAATTTGTATGCTTTTCTCCTGTCAGTGTATCTTATGTCAATTTAATTCTTAGTTTCCACCTGGGACCCTTAGGAGGTAAAGGTAAAGGTAAAGGTTTCAACTCCCCTGCAAGATAACATAATGAAAGAATGTTACCAAGTTTGAGGATATAGAAAAAGAAATCACCATGTTGTTGGCTGTCATGAAGATCCGGAAAAGTCCCTGCAATGCGGTTGGTTTCCCAGTGCCCAGCTCCTCTGCATGAGCAGCTTCCTCTGTACTAGATCTCTGCTGGGCATGGCTTCTCCACTCTTTCCATACCAGCAGCTAATCCCATGTCCACTTCATGGAGTTCACAGCCGTCAGTGACACCTGTTGTCCTGCGGCTTCCCCTCAGGGCCTTCCTTCAGGTGGATTAGCAGCAGCATGCCTCCATTGAGTTGCTTCCTTGTAATCTACTTTCCCTGGCACCTTAGATTTAAGATTTCTGCCATGTTCCAGAGAGCAGTTTTCAGCAAGTTCTTCCATTGCTGCATCCATCAACTCCTCTGCCATCTAATGATCCTGGTGATGTCCTCCTCAAAAAGGGTCTGAACCCAAGCTGGGGAAGTGGAATTGTTTCCATCAGTGCTCTATCTCAGGCCTGTGGCAGTGTTATTTTTATGTTATATTATATTCTATTATCACCACAGTGCAGCAAAGCATACCATATCATATATCATATGCCATATCATTTTATATTATTTCATTTAAGCTGTATTTTATGTTGGGGTTTAAGCTGTATTTTATGTGTTATATCATATATTGTATGGTAATCATTTGTATTATACCCACTAATAGACTCTATGCCTTATCTGTGATTCCTATATTCTTTTGGAGGGGGAGGGGCACAGAATGAGCACCACACCACTCTAGTCGGCCGTCTTGCTGCACCCTCCATGATTTTAACTTTTTAAAGGGGATTTTTGATACACAAATATTGTAAAAGGTTATAAGGTCAAATCAATTTCTTTATGTTTTTCTACCTTTTTTTTCTCATTTCAAACTGTATTCCTTTTCTAAAAAACATTTTTTATTGAATCAAAATTGATTATACATATTACTAGCATATATGTTACAAATCATAATTATTCTTTATGCCGCTGTCCAATCTCTCCCCACCCACTTCTCCCTCCCCCCTACCCCCCTCTAATTACTCTAGATTTCTCCTCTCCTTCTGAAAGAATAATGGTTACTCTGTTGATTTGTTGCCTAGATGATCTGTCCAATGCTGAGAGGTATGATCAGGTCCCCCAATATTATCATAAAGCAGATGCTTCTTCTGTCTCTCTGGAGTGCGCTTTGTGGAGAGAGACATCCTCTTCTTTTCTTTATCCCTGCTGGTGACTCTCCTTCTGTCAATGCACTCCAGTGGCTGGAGGACCATCGGCATGGTGATTGTGTCATCTAGCTGCTTCTGTGGCAGCCATGGTTATTGTGGCTGTGGTGGGCCACCCACATGGAGGTGATGTTTTTGGCATGCTCCTTGGGGCTGGCAGTGTGCCTGGTTGTGGGAAGTGTCTGGTCCTGGGTTCCATGCCTTGGGTCCTGGGTGGACCCCAAGGCCCTGGCATAGTGTGCCTGGTTGTGGGAGAAGTGTGTGGCCCCTGGATCCATGCTTCTGGTCCCTGGGTGGTCACCAAGGCACTGGCATGGTGTGCCTGGTTATAGGAGTGGGGTCTGGTCCCTGGCTCCATGCCCCAAGCCCCTGGGTGGGTCCCCAAGGTGCTGGTAGTGTGCCTGATTGTGGGAGGGGGGTCCAGTCCCTGGATCCATGTTTCAGGTCTCTGGGTGGATTCCAAGATGCTGGCACGGTGTGTCTGGTTGTGGGAGGGGAGTCTGGTCCTCTTCTCCATGTCCCAGGCTCCTGGGCAGGGCCCCAAAGCACTGATTGTGTGAGTGGTTGTGGGCGGGGGTCTGGTCCCTGGCTCCATGCCACATGTCCCCTGGTGGGCCCTAAGACCCTGGTGGTGTGCCTGGGCTGCAACTAATTTTTTGTCCTTTGCTTACTTCTAAAATGAGGAAATTTCCTGTGGGAAATAGTACTTGAGCTGGTGGTTGAGCTAAATTGCAGTTTTGTTGCTATTTCCCTAGGGAAGGCTTTATGTGCAGCTCGGGGTTTAATGGTTGACCTTATATGTACTTCTTTCTCTCCAGAGACCAAGTGCACCTGGGTCGTGTAGAAACTGTGATCTGGGCCTGAGTTTTTTCATCAAACTGAACCCCGTGCAATTCTGCATTCCCTACCAGTCTCCTCTGAGTGGTCCTGCACTGATTGGGGGGCGGATCAGCTGACCTTGCTCCATGTGCTCAGCAGTTCCAGCCTTAAAGTGGCCGTGGCACAAAATGCTCTGAGCAGTTTTTTCTTTCTCTCATCATGGTTTGTCCCACCTTCATGAACTCCATAGGTCTCTCCTCCTCTTCCCCTGAGCTCCAGCAGCCCCAGCTTGGCTGATGTTAACATTTTTATAGTTGTAAATTGGTTGATTTGTGGGAGAGAGTGATGCTGGGGACCATCTATTCTGCCATCTTGACTGGAACTCTTTTTCCT